CCACTGCCCGGCACACCCTACACTGATGTTTTTTTAAGGTCAAGTGCCATTACCCGGTATATATTTGCCCGATACTCCAAACACTGATGTTTCTTCTAATCTATCGTCAGTAAGTATTAAAATATCGAATAAATGTAATTATATCCACGAATAAATTAATATAAAATCGAATGTAATGAATTTTTCGGACATTCACCAAAGCTTCCATGTGATTGTCGACATGCACCGGTGAAAGTTAACAACCACCGATTTCGGTCATTCACCGTAACATGCACATCATTTACATAATAACCTCATTAGGACGTTTATTTCATCCTTTGCCTAAATAGCATCCGGCATTATATATAATGCCTAGGCAATGTGTGAAATATAAATCATTTCATACTTTGCCGGTATAATAATAAATAAATAAGCTGAATAACTAAATAGCATAATTGGTAAGCATTTATTGACTTAAATTCTTTATTTATCGTCTATCTAAAATAGATAAGTATTTCGTAAAAAAATTTGCAATGTATTTGTTTTCATTTATGTTAAATAAATTCTTTTTTACTCGAAACTAAATTTCATAATAATGTTTTGAACTTCTATATACTTTAGTTGGACTTACGTTAGTATTGTTCCTAAAGTTCTCATTAAACTTAGCAGAAAACTGCAAAAATTACTTTAAAAAAAAAAAAAAAAACTTTTTGATTATTAGCTTAAAAATTAAAATCAAAATTTTTCTGAAAATTAAAACTTGTAATTTTAAAGCTTAAAGATACTTATTTAATGAATTTACAGTTAATTACAATTTTATCTACGTCGTTGTTTTCTTAGCACATATAACTATGCAAGTGTTTGTATTCAGGCTCTTTTACTGCGTAATTCTGAACTTGAAGGTTCAAATCAAATCATATTAATTGTCTCACAGACACGAATTTTTAACTTCATTAATTTGAACATAACTGTTTTTTTCCGTCTTATATTAATAAATCTTTGATTTTCTTTACTTTTTCTTTTTAACTTTATTTTTTATTATTTTTTTTATTTTGTGTTTTGCATCCTAGAAACTTCTTATTTTCTAATTATATATTTAATATTTTTTATTATTATTTATTTTTCACTATTGTGCAGTAAATAAAATATTCCTTTTCCTTAAATTATTATTTTTCTTTCCAATATAATAGAATCGTATAAATATCCGCATTTCTTTGCATTTTATAGTTTTCTCACCCTCCATATTCTAAAATGCTTAATTAACATTGGAAAACGTTAAAAACGATTTGAAATTTCATGTCGTAGAAACTATTGTGCTGCCATCAACTTATTAAAGATCAAATCAAACTCATAATTTACTATTAATTTGAACACACTCTTCACACTACTTCTACAACGTTCAAATAGTGTTTCTGCCAAACAACTATAATGATTATACATTTTCACGCTTCATCCTGCACGGCACGTTCACGTACAGCATAAGCTCTGTATAGAACTGAAATAGTTCTGTTGTACTACACGTAAATCATACGCTTGTGAACGTATGGGACTCTACATGGAGATGCTGTATGATATATATGGTATTACTTTCACTTTAGAAGAATGAGTAAAATTGTTTTTTTAATCTTTCTATAAATATAAGCAATTTTAGTTATTTTTACACCAGATAAAAATGTTGCATTTGCAATCAACATAAAATAACTCAAAGTAAGCATCTCAAAAATGTTTCATAACATGTAAAAATGGCATAGTTATGAGAGTGTATTACAGAAAAGTTTAAGACGACTTAGAAAGCATGCAGTTTTTTGGTAAAGAGTATTTTATGCTATAAATATTTATCATTCATAGACGAGTTCTTTTTGTCTGGAATACCACAAGCGTTTTCTAGTTAAGTAGTAACTAATTGTCACTAAATTGTCACTAAAATGTCCTTTTTAATGGAAAACTAAATATTGAAATAATAAAATTTTATTCAAAAGCAATTATTAATTCAAAAACAAATAGTAAAACTGAAAAAAAAGTTTTTTTTTCAGATATAGAAAGTATACTAAAAGTAATGTATTAGCCTATTTTCTACCTCGAAACGAGTTTAAGACACTCCACTCCAAGAAAAGTATGAGTGGTATGATATGATACAAAAAATCATATATTTAAATTATTAGATACAAATTTTATTCTGTAAGCGGTTACCACTTAAAAATTGCATTATTGCATTGTTATGAAATAAATAAACAGTATAAAGAAAATATATTGTTTAAAAAAATTTAAAAAAGCTTTCAAAATATATATTTAAATTTGTTTCTTACTTTTAGTTTTTAATAATTAATTAATGATAAAATAAAAAAAAACCAACATAACTAGGCTTATTTAGGCTGTGGAAGTTAAAAAAGTTCTCTTTGAACCCATTGTTGAGAAGTAGCTGTAGTAGTTTAATAAATTATCTTCAAACTGGAGTGTGAGGTGTAAAAAATTTAATTTAAATTCATCTAAGGTCTTTTATAAACTTTTCTTCGTATTAGGTTTATAAGCAGTAGTTCATAAAGTTTACTTTTAACCCAAATTACCTAAAAAAAACTGAACGTTTCTTTTGTCGCAATTTAAAAGAAAAAGTTATCAATCAGAGTTATTAGCTTTTTCAAATATTTTTTTTAAAACTAAAACAGGCATTAATCATATTTAGACTGTAGAAACTTGAAAATTTTTTTCAGTTATTTACTATCAACAGTGCTATAGAAGTATATGTTTCTTTTCTAACTAAAGTAACCCAGAAAAATAACGAATGTTACTTTCATTCAACCTAATGAGAAAAAAAAAGGTCAAGATGATGGCAATTAACTTGTGATAAAATAAAAAGAAAACATGTTTTGAATTTATATTTAGACAGTAGAAGTTGAACAAGTTAACTCACTCTATTTGAACTCAGCAGTGAGTTCGTGAAGCATAAGTTTAAAAAATTATCTTCAATTCCGAAGAATGCACATGAAATAGCGATTGTTACTTTAAACTTGACATGATAAAAAGAAAAGTTGTGAATAATAACAGTTAATATTTTATAATTCATTTCAGATAAAGTAAAAGACATGCTTTGAGCTTATTTATAGAGAGAAAAATTTTTCAAAAATAATACCTAAAGTAAAAAAATATGATGCATTTGAATAAATCTGTATTCACCACCGTGCTTAATACCTCCAAATAAATCTATCTTGTTGCGAAATCACGTGTTACGTATTTTTAATTTTAAAATGAAATCTAATATAAAGGAATGTATAACATTTTTTGTATAATGTTGAGTAACATCGCCTTTTTAAATTTATTAAGAACGTTAAGAAACCTGATTTAGGTTGATTCATAACCTTTCAAAAAGTTATGAATAATAAAAATTAATTTTTTATTATTAGTTTTTGGTAAGAAAAAAAAACACGCTTTGAGCTTATTTAGGCTGTAGAAGTTCTCTCTAAACTAGACATTGGTGTGCTCAATTAGTAGTTTAAGTAATTATTTTCACCCCCGAAGACTGCTCATGAAATAACGAATTCTAATATAAACTTAACCTAATAAAAAAAGGTATGAATATTGACAAACAATTCTTTATAATTAATTCTTTATGATTAATTCTTTATAATTAATATTTGATAAATATAAAACTTGCTTTCAGCTTATTTAGGCTGTAGAAGTTCTCTCTAAACTCGACAGTGAGGTGTTGAAGTAGTAGTTTGAAAAATTATCTTCACATCCGTAGAATGCAGATTAAATAACGAATGTTAATTTAAACTTAATCTGATAAAAAAAGGTATGAAAATTAACAATAAATTCTTCATAATTAATTCTTTATAATTAATTTTTTTACAATTAATATCCGATAAATATAATACTTGTTTTGAGCTCATTTAGGCTGTAGAAGTTCAGAAAGCTCTCTCTGAACTCGACAGTGAGGTGTTGAAGTGGTAGTTTAAAAATGATCTTCTCATCCGAGGAATGCAGATGAAATAACGAATGTTAATTTAAACTTAACCTGATAAAAAAAAGGATGAATATTAACAATAAATTCTTCATAATTAATTCCTTATAATTAATTTTCTTATAATTAATATCCGATAAATATAATACTTGTTTTGAGCTCATTTAGGCTGTAGAAGTTCTCTCTAAACTCGACAGTGAGGTGTTGAAGTGGTAGTTTAAAAAATTATCTTCACATCCGAAGAATGCAGATGAAATAACGAATGTTAATTTTAACTTAACCTGATAAAAAAAGGTATGAATATTAACAATCAATTCTTTATAATTAATTCTTTATAATTAATATCTGATAAATATAAAACTTGCTTTTAGCTTATTTAGGCTGTAGAAGTTTAGAAAGTTCTCTCTAAACTCGACAGTGAGGTGTTGAAGTAGTAGTTTAAAAAATTATCTTCAAGCACGAAGAATGCAGATGAAATAAATAATGTTAATTTTAACTTAACCTGATTAAAAAAAGGTTATGAATATTAACAATTATTTCTTTATAATTAACGTCTGATAAATATAAAACTTGCTTTGAGCTTAAATAGGCTGCAGAAGTTTAGAAAGTTGTTATTAAACTCGACATAGAGCTGAATTAGAAGTTTATAAAGTTACCTTTAAATTAGAAGAATACACATGAAATGACCCTTTGACTCAATGTAATAGAAAAGGTTTATGAATAGAAAGTTAAAGGAGTTCATAAAAATTCTAGAAATCGAAATTTAAATTACTCATAAAATTGAGAATTCTAACAAAATAATATGGGGTATTTCTGTAAGTTCAAATCCATAAATCATAGTTAATTACTTGATGTCAGTTTTCAACAACATCAATAAAAATTTAAATAATATATCAACAATATGAGTGCAATTTTACATCTCAGTCCAAACCGTTGCGCACCAAAATAAGCGCCATATTAATACGAATCATTCTTTATAAACCAAGTAGATAAGATCAACGTGGCGAATTTCAAAGATAGCACAATTTTTATCCTGATTACGCAAAACAAAAAAAGCTCTTACCTGGCTCTTCTGTAGGAGTGAATGATATGAAAAGTTGCATGTCTCTAATCTATATCTCAAAACTGATAACTTATCAGTCTTTTTTTCAGCTTCTATTTTATCTCTTTCAAAGTTTGTTCCAAATGCTCGTCTTGGATTTGCCGTTCGGTCCCTCCATTGTTAATAACACTGCATCAAACACGAAGTGTTCTCGTGCAGTTCGAAATCCCCGAAATATGTCCGAATATCGTAAATTTTTGAGAAGTACATGGCTTCTGACTTCTTGGACTGGGGGGGTTGGTGGCCGAAGGAAAATTCCTTCCTGGTGCCTGGTTCGAACATGCGACATCATGGCTAGTAATCAGCAAGAGCAAGAGAGGAATAAACAATGTCAAAGGACTTTGTTCTGTGTACACACACACACCTTGAGGTGATAATAAAGTGGACTCAAATCGCCTTGTCGTTTCCTTTCGATTAGGCTGGATGGATTGGGGAGATTTGTTGTGTTTCCTACAAAACACATTTTTGTTGATGACAGAAGAAAAATAAAAGCAATTTTAATTGTTTTTGCCTTATCTGCAAAGAGTACATTAAGCAAGTATGCTTAAAGTACGTTAAAGGCAAGACACCGTCGTAAAATTTTTAAAGGGGAAAAAATGGATAGTTAAACTCAATTGTTAAAAATTGACAGTCAATACTTAGCACTTTTGCATTTATGCTGAAGTGCTAAGTATTGACTGTCAATTCATTTATGCACAGTCGGACCTCTATTTAACGAAGTTGCTAAATCCCAATAAAAAATTTGTTATATGGAAAATTCGTTAAATAGAAAATCACCTTTTGAAATACTTAAACAACGCAAAATAGTTTTTAAATTTATAAAATCCAGACATAATTAAAATAGCAATTGTCAATACCTTCATCTTGTTAACTAGTATCTACTATTTATTTTTTAGTTTTAACCATAAAAGAAATCGACTTGCAAAACAAGAATAAAGCAAAACATTGTGTTACACTATCGTGCTACACACATTTTCCACTTAAAAATGCTAAATTTCTGTATAAATTATAGCTGCATTTATTATGAAATTAATTTTAAACATACATTACCGTATGCGTTCTTAAATTTAATAATTACTGATAAAATCCGGCAATTTTGTCTGAGGTTTTCGTTTGAAATGCGAAAAGGGAAAGGGATTTTGCTGCTTTCTTTAAAAGTTCGTCATCGAAAATCCATTCAAGGTCATTTACTCCATAACATGCCTTAACAAGTCTGAAATATGGGAAAAAGGGACAGTGGATCCCAAACAAAAGTTCGTTAAATAGAAAATTCATATCGCTATTTGGAAGTTATTTTACGAAGAAATTTCCAAAATGTTCTTGGTTCCCCGAAAAAAATCGTAAAATCGAGAAATTCACACAATGGAAGTTCGTTAAATAGAAGTCCGACAGTATAGATAAATATATGCAGTACAATAAATAAATACAAAAAGGACAAAAAGAAAAAAGGAGAAAAATGAAAAAAAATTAAGAAAAACAATAAGTACTATTTACTGCGCATAAGCTGCAAGTATATAGAACTCATGAAATAAGCTCAAAATGTTGAAGAAACATGAAAAACGTACAGAATTATGAAAAAAGAGAGAGAGAAAATTAATAAAAAAAATGCGGAAAAAAATTAATGAAAATCCGAAAATTTTTTTTTTGCTCATATAATCGTGGGAGCTGATGAAAAGATTATATCTTTTTTTTCTTCAAATTTTTATGATTTTTTTTCTCCATATTTTTATAAATTTTTTTTCTCTTTTTTCATTATTCTGTAATTTTTTACATGTTTTCTCTACATTTTGAGCTTGTACATATATGTATATATGAGTGTGTCTGTGTGTATCACAATAAATAAATGCAAAAAGGACAAGGAAAAAAAAGAAGAGAAAAACGAAAAAAAATTAAGAAAAACAATAAGTACTATTTACTACGCATAAGCTGCAAGTATATAGAACTCATGAAATAAGTTTAAAATGTTGAAGAAACATGAAAAACGTACAGAATTATGAAAAAAGAGAGAGAGAAAATTAATAAAAAAATGCGGAAAAAAATTAATGAAAATCCGAAAAAAAATTTTTTTGCTCATATAATCGTGTGAGCTGATGAAAAGATTATATCTTTTTTTTCTTCAAATTTTTATGATTTTTTTTCTCCATATTTTTATAAATTTTTTTTCTCTTTTTTCATTATTCTGTAATTTTTTACATGTTTTCTCTACATTTTGAGCTTGTACATATATGTATATATGAGTGTGTGTGTGTGTATCACAATAAATAAATGCAAAAAGGACGAGGAAAAAAAAAGAAAAGAAAAACGAAAAAAAATTAAGAAAAACAATAAGTACTATTTACTGCGCATAAGCTGCAAGTAAATAGAACTCATGAAATAAGTTCAAAATGTTGAAGAAACATGAAAAACGTACAGAATTATGAAACAAGAGAGAGAGAAAATTAATAAAAAAATGCGGAAAAAAATTAATGAAAATCCGAAAAAAAAGTTTTTTGCTCATATAATCGTGTGAGCTTTTTTTCTCCATATTTTTATAAATTTTTTTTCTCTTTTTTCATTATTCTGTAATTTTTTACATGTTTTCTCTACATTTTGAGCTTGTACATATATGTATATATGAGTGTGATAATAAATGCAAAATGCAAAAAGGACAAAGAAAAAAAAGAAGAGAAAAACGAAAAAAAATTAAGAAAAACAATAAGTACTATTTACTGTGCATAAGTTCCATGTAGAGCTCATAAAATAAGTTCAAAATGTAGAGGGAGCATGGAAAAAATTACAGAATTATGAAAAAAGAGAGAGAAAAATTTAATACAAAATACGGAAAAAAAAATTAAGAAAAAAAAAATACTTTTTCAGATATAATCGTGTAAACTGATGAAAAGATTTTATCTTTTTTTTCTTTATCGGATTTTTATGTTTTTTTCCTTCGTATTTTTATAAAATTGCATATATATACATATATTGTATATATATATATATACAATTATATATTGTATAATATTGTATATATGTATTTTTCTAATGATAAAAAAACAGTCTAATAGCTACTGAAAAAAATATGTTAGATTATCGGAGTTACATTTGTACTAAAATAAAAAAATCCAAAAAGAGTAGTTCAAAATTTTTCTTTTCTTTCATTGTTAAAAATTTATCAATAATTTTGTTAATTAAGGAAATTTCTCTTAGATTTAAATAATTGGAAAAAAGTACGAGTTTGAAAAATTATTATTTTTAAGTGAGCCATGTTTGGATTTTTTTACCTTTAAGGCAAAAAAAGACTATATTCCTGCTCGATTTTCTAAGCAGAAATTATTTAAATGCTAAATATAATGCTTTTTTACTTATTTCGACATAAATTTGTAAAAAATAATCATAAAGGTATGTAAAATATGCTTGATAAAAATTATACATCAAGGGTTTAATGCGCTTATGCAGCAAGAAGATAAGTGATTTTAGCAAATTTTTTTTTAGGTAAATAAAGGGGAATAGATTTAGTTATTACGTAAAATGAAGGTATTTTCAGCTAAATAAGAGGGTGAGGGAATGAAAATTATGAAGGAAAAAAAAAAGGAAAATTGTGTCTTTATCTTCATTTCTTGGGATATTTTTTTCATTTAAAATTGTGGTATGAGAGGGGGGGGGCGAGAAATCTATTTCAGTGAAATTTTTAGTCTAAATAAATAATAACTGATTTATGATGAATCCTTGAATTCATTATCAATTAGACATTATCCTTGAATGTATCTTTATCTAGAGTAAAAAGTTGCCAACTTTTACTCAGTTTCTCCGCCAGTTCTAAGGAAAAGGCCCAGTATTAGCAAACTAAATATTTTAAAAATTTGAACAAGCATTTAAACTACTTTCTTCCAGAGGTCCTTTTATAATATAAAATTGCACTAACTTATATAATGAATCATGTGATATTTATAATAAAGAAAAAGAAAATGAAGAAAATAAAAATGAAAATATGACTCAACCCGTTTATAGGGCGTATATTATGTTTTGTGTTTTCTTTTAGTATAGTGATATTTATAATAAAATTTTAAATTCGTAACACCTAACAACCATAACCGTTAGGTTAAGTTTTGTCTATTTCAAAGTAGTGCCTTCTATGTAGATTAAGAGAAATTGCGAAAGAAGAGAATTGATACGAGGCCTTGGGGGATATTTCTGGCCTTGGCAACAGTAAGTGTTGCTAGGCGACCGCAGACGATTTTAATCGAAAGTTTGAAAAGTTCTTCTCTTTCAAAAAATGGAATTGAATTGTGAACATTTTCGTGCCATTATTTTTCATAACTTTCGACGTGGATTGTCAAGACAAGAGTGCTTCGATGAACTTAATTCTTTATTCAGCGATAAAGCGCCATCCTACAGCACTGTAAAAAATTGGTATAACGAATTTAATCGTGGTCGATGTTCGATCCAGGACGAATCCCGTGCAGGTCGTCCAAAATCCGTTGTTGTGCCAGAAAAGATCGATGCTGTGCGTGAACTGATAAAGCAAGATCGTCATGTGACATACCGTGAGATAGAGGCGTCTTTGGACATTAGTATGACTAGCATCAATAAAATATTGCATGAACATTTGAGCGTAAAAAAAATTTGTTCGCGTTGGATCCCGCATAATCTGACAAACGCTCAAAAAAAGGCTCGTGTCGATTGGTGCAAGGAAATGTTGGAAAAATACGTTCAAGGTACATCAAAGGCTGTGTATAACATCTACACAGGTGACGAATCATGGATCTATGCATATGAGCCGGAAACAAAACAGCAATCAACTGTATGGGTCTTCCAAGACGAGGCAAAACCAACAAAAGTTGTTCGAGGAAGAAGCACATCGAAACAAATGATTGCCTGTTTCTTCGGCATTAACGGTCATGTGGCAACAGTGGCATTAGAGCAACGCAGGACGGTCAATTCTGAATGGTACACGACCATTTGTTTGCCAGAAGTCATCGGAGAAATTCGAAAAAAGCAGAAGAACAGGCGAATCATTCTTCATCATGACAATGCGAGCTCTCACACATCGACTCAAACAAAGGCATTTCTGACGGAGCGAAAGATCGAACTGATGGGTCATCCGCCGTACAGCCCTGATTTGGCACCCAATGACTTCTTCTTATTTAAGGACTTCAAAAATAAATTACGTGGACAACGATTTTCGACCCCCGAAGAAGCGGTTGATGCATTCAGAACGCATGCTTCGGAGTTACCTCAATCGGACTGGAAAAAGTGCTTTGAAAATTGATTCAAACGCATGCAAAAGTGTATTGATCATCATGGAGAATATTTTGAAAAACAATAAAGCCAATTTCGATCCTACGTGTTTGTTTTTTCATTATTAGGCCAGAAATATAAATAGCAACCCTCGTATAATAAATTACAATTTATTTAAAATGAAAAACGTTTGTACTTTAATTTTCTAATGTTGGAAAAAATTAATCCAAAACTGCGAAAAAGTTTTGATTTTTTTTTTAAATAATAAAAATTAAAGGTTTGCATTGAGTCTCAGACATTTAAATTATGTCTTTTTATTTTTCATGGTGTAGAATGTACATTGTACAGAGCATGGAAAAAGAAATTGGGCCACCCTCAATAACTTTTGATCGAATGAGCGGATCTTCACCTTCTAGGATGCAATCTTAATGGTTCCAGGAGGTAATTTCAAATATGCTGATTAATAAGAGCAAACGATATTTTAAGTTACAAAATCAAACACAAAAACGTACTTTCTTGGAATAAACATATCTTTTTCCGACAGATGCGGATTTCTGACCCTCAAAGTGTAGGGGGTAGCTGCAATCTGGGAAGCATGGTCCCAATAGATAGGCCAGGAGAGCGCTTCAAAGTTTATATCCCTTAAATGTTAACATTACTTTGTGTGTATTTCACTATATCTCGAGAGTTTTTTTGAGCTAAATGAAAAAGTTTTGCACAAAATCATAAAATTCGTTTATCTAAAAATAATTCATTTAAAAAATATCTCTCTGTAAATATTTATTATTTCATTTAATAAAGGTCGGAAGAATTTTGAATTGTAAGGTATACTATTTGCATCATTTTAAGGAACATAATTGTACATGGCAGAAAACAAAGTTTGAGCAAAATCGATCGAATAGTTCCTGAGAAATCGAATTTTAAATATCTGACTTTTTTTTCTAGGAGCTTTTCAACCAATTTTACTCAAAATTTGCATTTTGCCATATGAAATTACATTCTTTAAAAATAAGTGAGAAATTTTATGCCTCGCAATTCAAAATTGTTAAATATTATTAAATAAAATTATTAAAAAATTATGAAATTAAAAATAATAAATCTTTACTAAAAGTTACTTTTTTACTAAGGAATTATCTTTGACTAAAATTAATGATCTAAAATTAAGGAATTATCTTTGGTTAAACGAATTTTATAATTGTGTGCAAAAATTATCAATTCGCTTAAAAAGTTCTCGAGTTACAGCGAATACGCAAAAAGTAAAATTAGCATTAATGGGTCCAATTTTTGGAGCGTTTTAATGGCCGAACTATTGGGACCATATTTCCCAGATTGTGGCTATCCAGTATATTTTGGGGGTCGTAAATCCGAATCCGTCGAAGAAAAAGATCTGTTTATTCAGAGAAAGAACGTTTTTTCGTTTAATTTTGTAACTTAAAATATCGTCTGCATTTATTATTAGCCAATTTAAAATCATTCCCTCGAGTCTTTAAGAATAAGCCCTAGAACGTTAAGATCCGATCATCACGTCAAAAGTTATTCTGGGTGATCCGCTTATTTTTTTGCACACTGTACATCATGACATTAAATTGTATATGAATATGTGACAAACATTTAAATTATGTCTTTTTATTTTTTTGGTATACATTGTTCATCAAATTAATTTTATTTTTTTTTATTTTTGCAATAAAAATGAGAGAAACTTTAAAATCTCCGTTTCATATCAAGAGAAATTTTTACGCGAATTTACTCTGTCAGCGCTATTCTCGCTGTTCAATTCATGAGAATGTTGTCGCAATTTTTACTGTCACATATCGGTTACAATGGTCTCTCTCTCTATTATATATATTTATTCTGTAATTTTTTACAT